CCGTGGTGATGTGAGGCCGCCCCGTCTTTTGGCGACGTAAACGCTCCCAGTTTTCTCAAATTTTCTCACCAGCCTAGGAACATACCGTCCGTTGATGGGCCACTTTGCACTGTGGATAGTGTCAACTACTTTGCCACTCGAGGGCGTAGTAACATTATCACTGTTACTGAGGGCAGCATAGGCGCGTGAAGGCCAAACGATCGGTAAAGAGCACACCAGCTTTCGATGCAAACTAATATGCGCTTGGGACCTTGACGTGAATGTATTGAAAGTGACCACAATGAAACAAATAAGAGGAGCACTGGGAAGAACGTTTGCACAAGTGCGACACATGGCGCAAATGTGTTGTTGATCATACAGTGTAACATTAACATATTCAAAACGCAGCTTATCCGGATAATTTGTCAATCATATTTGGTATCCAAAATACGACGGTAATGAAAATGCGCCCCCGTGTCACGTGCCGCCTTGGACGGACCGCCTACGCGCCCCCATACTGCGTCTCTGCAAAGGAAACAACTAAACGTATTCAAAGCGGATTAGTCATCTCTTCGTCTATATAATGCAACCCCCTTTGTTGGGAGTCCAGCAACGACACCATAGCTCAATCATCGATAGTTGCTCATCCAAACTGAAACCTAGTGCACTGAAAACCGAAGCGCTTACACCGGAGCTACATCAGCAGATTAATAACGATGTAGATGACGTTCCTGATGAAAAGCGCTTGGTTGAATGTGCCAGTAAAGCATGTGCAATTTTAGTCCATAGCAAGTAAAGACGTAAGGTAACCGCTCATTTTCCCAAGAACAACACTGGAACTAAGTTTCGACGGATCACGCGCCTAATGTAATATGTGTCATGGAGAGAGTACCCAGGGCTTCCCTATCCGGGCGTACATTGGGTCGTCAAAGACCCAGGGGGTTGAAAGGCGAAGCAGATACTTGGTAGGCGGCTGGCCCGTTTCATATCAACCACCTACTAGGAGTCCGTGATTAGCTGCACGGTGTAGTCACAGCTGGCGACGGGAACGGAGCCTGAGCTGTGTGGATGGATGACGATAACGCGCACGAGATATGATTACAACAGATGTCCGGCTATAACCACATCCTTTACCCACGTAGAATTGGGATGGAGCGAAATAGCAACTTCCACTTGCAAATGGCAAATGCCATATAAACGCACGGATTGGTTTGCGTCATACGGAGTCGCTCATCCCTGTGCAGATGTTACAACCCGACGAGTAAATTTGATTCGCCGAAGCGAGTACATTTTATTTGCATCTTCAAAGCATTCTCTCACCGCAACCCTGTGGTGTGTTCGAATACAGTCCACAACTGACGAATGCCCATCGGGAAATATCTCCCTAGAGAGCGTGATCAAGGTTAGTTCTGCTTGTCCTACATACTCTGCGTTTCCGCTTACACCGTCCAGCCGCCTGCGTTGGTGCAATTGGTTAAGCAATCCGGCAAACGGCCACACACAATACCCATGTACGTCAAGTCTGCATAGTTTAATTTTCTTATTTATTATGCCCTTATCAAATTCCTCATCCACTGGCTCTCCAAACACAATCAACGACAGGCGGTAGAACGTACTTGTTGGTTACACAACCGTGTTAGAGTGGCATCTGCTTGTCAAGCTCCCACATGATTGTTCTACAACGCGGCAACTACAATTGGTATGCGACGCGACCACACGCACCAACTAACCGGAAATCCACAATGTTCCCCCGATTAGAGAACTAGCTATTTCTAGCAGAGAATAAAGTTCACTCTGACCCGTCATCATAATAATGTAAGAACAACACTCGCTTAGAACAGGTAGTTTACTGCCAACAGAATGTTTTACAGATCGGCCAAATGGACAACACGTCCATAATTCTTGCTGACATGTTGAACCATTTGTTTGCAGTGCTGCTGCGTCACTAAAGCCCGTGCTTCAGACACCGCGTGCTCCAAAAAGCGAATGCGCCACTCGCTTTTATTCATAATGCCTTCAGGATCCCCCAGGAGCATCTCGGAGTACCGTCACTTCATTGCCTGTTTTACATGAGCCTTTATTATGCTCCATATGCCCTCGATGGGATTGAGAGCTGGTGAGTATGGCGCAAGGCGTAGAAGTCTCCCAGAGCGGTACGGTTCCTCCAGAAAAACGTGCTCCAGGTGCGTGTGACAGGGCGCGTTGTCACAAATCAAAATACACCTTTCCACAAATCCTGTTCCGTTGGTATCAAGCACTCGTCGCAGCCACTGAGCGCACCTTTGCTTGTTGTAACTTCCTCTCAGAACCGAACACGCTATCAAGCCGTTGTTTGTCATGGCGCCGACAAGATGAACATTCGGTCCCCGGCTGTTCGCCACTGTACACTGCGCTCGACTGCCACGTCGTGAGCGGCCACGAGTGCGGGAGCGAAATAAGTTGAAGTTGGTCTCATCAATCCACACCGGTTGCCTTCCTTCCACCTCGTAATCCATGAGCTGCAAAACAAATGATCTGCGTCGTTTTTTGTTCTCCAGCGTGTTCATGGACTCCGGAATGGTGTGCAATTTCTTCATTGTTATAAGTCTACCATCCAAGTATCGTGAGACAGTGCTGGTACTTACTGAAACTTCGAACTCCGCCTTCAACCGCAAACGAAGGAGTTCAAGGGTAACGGTAGGCTCTGCAGAAACCCACTCAACCAGACAGTCGACGTGGCTTTCTCCCAGTGCTCTGCGACGAACTCCCCCGTGCTGTCCCACCGTTTCCGTCGATTCGTACGCCCGGATCCAGTTGCGGCAAGTTTTCACGTTCACCTTCAGTATGCAAGCGACCTGCTTCCAATCGTCCCCTTCCTCGTACGCTTTCAGTACGACGTTCTTCACCTCCCTCGAGTGCCGAACATACGAGCCAACCATTGCGTTTAGGTGAACTGCACATTCAAAAGCATACGGCAAACTTATTTGGCTGTGGCTCGTTATACCAAACCAATCGTCATTCAAATCCTTACTCTCGTTCTAATTGGTGGGAATCGCTTCCTAGGACAGCGAAAGAAGGGCCAACCTGATGCATCGGCCAGCGACACTGTCCCTGGTAGTAGCTGAAGCGTCCCACATACACCCCTATGACTTAGTGCGTCTGAGGTCCAATTGGCTGAAGGCGACGGGCTATACACGCACACCTACACACCTGCACAAGTGAGTGGGGTACGCACGGAACAAATTAATTGAGTAGACTCATGTTGAATGCCCCCTCAGATTATTCCTGTTGCCCAAGTGGACAACTTGTCCGGGAAATTGTATAGATGTTATAGAGAGCCGTTCACTATACACTGACTTGAAGGTTACTGCCTTGCAGAGGACAGGTAACCCCATCCCCATGGATAGAACTTACCAAACTTAAGCCGCTGAGTAATTTTTCGCATTATAAGCAGTTAGATGTGGATACTGATTACAAAGGAAAACCAGAGACTTTCATGATATTAATAGAAATTCGTCGTTTGTTGAAGGCAAAGCCCTTTTCTTTGTAAAGTAGTAACTTGCAATGCAATGGATATTGAGCGGTACTATATCAGATCTAGCAATGTAGTCGTGGCGATCTTCACTGTCCCCCGTAGCTCATTGGTCACAACCACATACTGGAGACAATCGAGTTGCGGCTTCGAACTCCACAGGGGTTAGTTATAATGCACGCTGCTGACGATTCCCGATAGGGTGAACCGGCCGTACGGTGTTTTCCGGGCAGGTGATGGCTATTTGACTGAGTTTAGATTTGTTGAATTTTAACCTATACCATTTAACTCCCCACACTACGCCATGGTACACATACATTGTGCAACGGATCCTGCATTTATCGATATACGACTTACGTCCCAGCGGCATTCAGGTTGACAGCTATACACAACCGGAAAACACAGACGACCAGGAAAGTTTCGGCAATGCTGGACGAACACCGCCCAGGTTAAGGTCCGTCGTTGTCGCCCATGACTAAGGGACTAAAGTCCTTGAGTCATAAGAGGAAAAGCATGGATTTGTTTCCAAGAGAAGGACCAGCTCCCATAAAACGGTGAAGAAGGCGACGAAGGCATACGTATTACGCCATTGCGCTGAACCGATGTTTTGCTGCCGGTCGATCCACAGGAATCGCGTTCTGATTGGGGATACTGCGAGGTAACCCAGATCAGTGCAAATTCGAAAAGGTGACCACTTGGTTTGAAGGTGGAAGCCTATTCGCTTCGGCCACTTGAAGGAACAGCCACCAAGTGTTATTCCCGATGCATGACGGCTGTCTGATTGTATTTATCTTCTACCACCCCTTTAAACCTGTAACAAATCCCTTTGCATCTCTCCTACTCTTGATTTAGTCCTAAACCTACCGTTGCGCTTGCGAATCCCGCCCCGGGAAGCCACAGCAATTTATTCGTATCAAGTCATCGTTGAATTATATCTTTCTTTATCTCAGTATGGTTATTGGTCGTTGGGCAGAATATTTAAGCTACCTCAAGGTAGGAACATCAATCACCGCAACCTATCCCCCTTGTGATATTGTAACATTCACTTTGTCTTAAGGTTCCTTTCTGAACATCCCTCCGGTAGCCCCCTTTAAGTAGCAAAGAACTTAGCCCACTTGCAAAATCCAGAGCATTGATTCGTTGTTTTTTAATCACCCCTGGTAGTAATGACACCTTGTCCGCAAGTGTGCTCACTCTTCACTAGGCAGACTATAATTGCCATGGACATTTTCCACCAATGCATCACTTTTCCAGATGTCGATGAGGGTTGCAACTGGCAGCATGCTGGTCACCACATGAACTATGCTTGGAGTATACGAATACTTACGGCAGTATTCGTCACGCATCGTGGTCAGTTCTGGTCCAAACATGTATTAGGAATAACCATTCAACTGAGTCCAAATAGCGAGCCATATAACCTCATAATTTACCCCAGTTTTCTGCTGTCAATCTAGCCGTTGCATTAACACTTTAAGGCGAATCAAACTGCAAGCTAACTGGAGCTGCTTACCGTTGGATGAAAGTGATTTTTGCGTGTTTGCATACAGTAATCCAAAATCCTCGTGTGTGGCACCAGTGTCTGCACCATGCTGTAAACCTGATGCGCAGTCATGTTGGAACCCAGATGACGCATCTTAAAATTAGGCTCCGCTGTGAGCTGCTGATGTAAAAAGTCGGATAGCCGTTTTAGGGATAGCGATTTTCTCCGCGTGTATTTTTCCGCTCTAGCAGTTGATATGGAGCAGTTGCGTGTTTTTCCATAGATTTGCTGTATACGGTGTTCGATGAACCGTGTGCGAAAGTCCCAGTCGATCAGCTTGGTGTGTCGAATACATTTTGTCCCCGCAGTGCAGCTCATCGCGGAAGCAAAGGTGAATGATGGCATGTGAACTTGAACACGTTAGTCACCTGACTGAAAAGATTGATTTTCGCTCAAACAGAAGACGTATCACTAATTCCCTAGTCGTGTTCCTTTATATGCGAAACTGTAAGCCGTCATCATTTATTACATCGTACTAGAGGATTTACACAATGTACACCGAAGTCCCCAGCACAAATCCGGAAAGCCCAGTACGGCCAGTCGGTCCTTTTAGAACTCATAGGGGTACGTTATTCCTTGTGTTCAGTACTCGACCTTCTGTTTTTATTGTCATAGTTAAGTAGACGTATAATTTTCAGTAGCACGTTCTCAGTAGGTGGAATGGGCTACCCTGTTCCCTTCAGGATTGTAGCTTGTAAGCCTGTGGCCAGTCAGTCCCCTTGCGTTTCAGGCAGTTAGTTAGTCATGTGTGTTGTGAGCATCCAAGGGAATCCAGGGTTTCATTCTCTACTTACAAAACACTGGATGGCGATTTGGTGTCCTTGCAAATGAATTTTGGGAAGCATTGCCCAACGCCGGACGACCAATTCACAGTTTCATTGCAATCACTTAAATTCGCGTCCTCGCTCACATTCGTACATTGGATTCGCTTAATAAAAGCACACATGCGTTGTAAGAGACCCTCACACACAGGCAGCTAAGTATGTATGCGAAGGGTTGAATTAGCTCAGGTTTGTGGCGTAAGGACAAACGCACCAAGGCAGCTCTGGGGCTGACAGAATGAAGGAATAAATAAATAAACGATGTATTCCTCGGCGGTGCGAGGCATAGTCCAACTATGTGGTCTGCTCAATGTGTACAGCAGGATCGCACAAAATAAGTTATTGTTCACGCTTTGCACAATGGATCCAAAACGGATATTGTGGCAACTGGCAGGTCTAACTTTTTAAAGAAATTGAAAAGCTGGGAACCATAACAAATACAGATCTAAACAAATATTTAGGTAAAGTAGTACGGCCACCCGTGGAAGCGTCATTAGGGGACTTGCTTCCATGCAGGGTATTCCCTCGAAAGCTTTCGCCCACACATTCATGCGGGTCGCGTGCCGGTGTGGCAAAGTAGCAATTAGGTCATCATCGGTTTAACCTTTGTTGTGTTCTTTTTAGGGTTGTTTTTATGCATGCGTTATGGGCGATGAAGCCTCAGCCCGGTCCGTCATGCGGATCATTCAGTTATACACTCTTTTATACGCCAGTCAGTTAGTGGTAATGTGCCTTGCATAGGTAAAGCCTTTTCTATTCTGGAAGCCTCAATCCGTGGCCTCAGGAGATCAGCCCAGTCGTGGCCAACAAGGAAATAAGGAAGAAGGTAAAATAAGAAAAATTGAATGCAATAAGTAGAATATCGTCAATGGTAACAATAAGCATATAATATGTTATACAACAGCGCGAAATGGATCGAGCCTATCGTACGACCAAATTGTGCGGAGTGACAGCCGTAGACAGATAACTGCACGAGTTGTCCATAGGCAAAATGATAAGTAGGGAATGCGATATCGCCAATCACTGAAATCCGGTATGTGTTGTTAAACTGTTAACTCCGGAAAAGAAGGGGAAACAGTTGGCATTACAAAATGAATATAACGAAGGGAATCACAGAACCAATATTACGAATTAGTCAAATTGAGGGGAGGATTATGAAGATGGTTCCTAACCCCATACCAGTAAATAATTTTGCTCTCGATTTTAAATCAGAAGATAGTTGATAGGAATTACGTTTAAATGGAGTAAACTCGTATAAGAGGTTGGGTTAGAGCATAGCAAGTGAAGCGGTTGTAACAGCTCAATCTAAATTATCAGGATTGCGCTGATGCACTTGTTGAACTTGTTTCCAGTCGATGTTCGCCTGTATCACATGATCCGGCCCTTCTTTATGTAGGTTTTCATCCTCAAGTTGAAATATTAAAATGTATTTCACCCTGTCAGTTGACAGATAAATCTGTTTCATTTTCTTGAACATGTAAAAATGTTCAGTACATCTATATTGGCAGCTGTTGGGTGCCGCCTGAGATACTAGCCGGTTATCGGTGACACGTAATGGACGTGTCAACTACGGGACAGTATAGAAATTGGAGGCGACTGAACCCAACGTATATTGCACAGGCTACAAAAGTAAGAAGCGAAGCAACAGGAGAGAGCGACGGTGCAGCAAGTTACTCATTAAAGCAGATTTGATAACGGAAGTGTCGTCAGTAAAACAAGTGGACGTTCTGAAGGCTAAAACGACGGTAAAATCCAATGTCGCAAAATACTGAAGTGTGTTTTCAGTTACACTACAAGAGCCTCCTCCTAGGAGACTGCAAGCCTTCGAAGGAGCGGTTGGTGGGTGAAAACGGGAGGTGCTGGTGGGTGCGAATAGTAGCCTGGGCTTGAACACGGGCTTCCAGGATGGGGTATGTAGCGGGGTTCGCTGGGTCCAGACTTTTTTAATTATTTATGATGAGCGTGGGGACCAGAGCGCAGCATCTGTCGGCCGTCGGGGCGGGCTGGTGAGACTGCAAAATATTGCCTCGTCCAGGAAAAAGGCCGACAGGACATTTCCTCCGCTGCAGACCGGACGATGCGCTTGAGAAGTATCACTCCCCCAACCGCACTCAAGTTCACGGTCCTCGTCCCACGAAAAAGTGCGGCGTCCTCGTCGGCAACGCATAGCCAGACGATTGGGGACCAATCCGGTCGTTGCCGTTCTCGGTCGAGAGCAACTTACTGTTCATTGGGTGTGGAAGGGGCCTTGAGCCGGCTGGCGAGTCACTCGGGGGTTGTGATTAGCCGGTTGGCGAAGCACCCGAGGGTTGCCTTGGCAGTTCCGGCGGTTGAGTATCTGGAAGGTAGAACTCAGAGGGAATGGGCAAGGGTCGGGGGAACTGGCTTGACGCCGGAAAGAGAACATGGCACGCATGATACAAGCAAAGCAGCTATTTTGCTTTTCACATTATTTCAGGTTTTTTGTCGGTAGTGCAGAGCGTTTGTGGATGAGACGCACGATGACTACTTAAGACGAAAGAGTTGTGTTAATAGAAACAGCAAACGTTTACAAACTCTGTGAAATGGACGGGACGTCTGACCTGTCAACCTCGTTGGTCGGTCGGTTGCCTGAGGTGGTGGGGGAGTAGTTTGAGAGTCAAAGGGAACGGAGGGTTTCGGGGTATCCAGTGCTCTAGAAGGCACCGCAGGTGCGAGTGCTTGTGTGATAGCATCCGAATGTGTTGCAAGTGGTTCGTCAAAGAAAGCCACTTTGAGGCGGTCGATGGACACCGTTGTTCGGTGAACATTCTGGTCTAAGGTGAAATTTTTAAGAGTCAGTTGCAGGACTCTGAAAGAATCAGTGTACGGAGGCTGGATAGGGCGCCGCACTGCGTCGGTGCGGAGGAAGACGTGAGTGCAGGTAGAGAGTCCGCTGTGCATTTGCACATCTCTAGTCTGCTCAGGGGGCGGAGTCGGGCGTAGTGAACGCATGCGTTGAGCAAGGGAGGACGCAAAGTTAGGTGAAGGCATACCCGACGATGCGGGATCTGAAACGAATGCTCCAGGTAACTTTAGCGTTGTGCCGTAAATCAGCACCGCTGGTAAACATTTCAAATCAGTTTTGATATTGCTTCGAATGCCTATGAGTACGAGCGAAACATTTTCACTCCAGCTAGGGGCAGAGGAAGCGAAAAACAAGGCTTTAAGCTGTATTTGGGAGCTTACAACTAAACCGTTGGCTGCTGGGTGATACGCTGTGCTATGAATGCGGCCACAGCCTAAAAAGTTGCAGAACGTATCGAATTGTGAAGATTCAAAAGGCGTTCCTCGGTTAGTTGTAATGGTGGATGGGCATCCGTAGTGCGGGACCCACCGATCTAAGAAGGCCCGGATAACAGTCTCAGCTGTGCAGCCGGTTACAGAAACGGCTTCTGGTCATTTGGTGAAGCTGTCGACACATGTAAGCATGTATACGAAGGACGTAGTCGACAGATTCACTTGGGACTCGAGTGACTCGTAACAACTCCCGGGTCCAGCCAAGAAAGGAAGCCGAGACGTTAACTACGGTACTAGTGAACAAAATAAAACTCAACTACATATTTACGTAACTCAACAGTGCCCGTTCAGTCCTGAAACAACCTGGTCTTCGTACAGTTACAAAATGAAATAGCGTCAGCGCATTTATTACCGTACAGCAAGGCCACACAGCACAGACGCAAAGAGAGGAATACGAGGGTTCCTTTTAAGGTATCCGAACTCTTATCCCATTGGTCCGCGGCACGGCGCACAGGAAGATACAAGGTGTCATTACATTCAAGTGGAATGATATTAACGCGTCTCGATGCGGATATGGGATCGAAGATCAACAAGTGCCTGGGTGCCCTGGGGGTTAGTAGCACGGGGTGGGAGTGCACAATCGTCACAGCGGGTTTGGGATGCGAGCAAGTCCATGTTGAGTGGGAAGTTTCAAGGAGGAAGACAAACATAACCAGGGTTTGTGTACCTTTGGGACTAGTAGCAGGGGGTGGGAGTGCACAATCGTCACAGCGGGTTTGTGATGAAACCACGTAGACATGGCTAGGAAAACCATGTATAGCACAATAGCCCGAAGGAGTAGGCGTCAGATAAGGTTATGGGGAACAAGTCTCAATATCATGGTGTGAATTGCAAAGAAAACATGGAGGTTTGAATATTTAATCGCACGGGGTAGACAAATAATTGTTTATCCGGGACCTCGACAGACGGCGTTGATCATGTGGTCATCTGACTTTGATCTTGACATGCAGGCTGCAGTTTTCGTGTTAATTCTTCCGCCTACAAAGGAGGCAAAGGACCTAATAGGTCTAAGTGTGCATACGAGAACCGAGAGTCCGGGTTGGGAGATGAGCCAAAAGGACTGCGAGTGTGAGGATATAGTCTGGAGCACTTGCAATGAAGGCAACCACGAGTCCAGGTACGAATATCTTTGTTTGCGCGTGGTCAAACGAAAAGTTCGGTGACCAGTTTCAAAGACTCACTGATACCGGGATGTGATAGTGAGTGGAGGGCGTCGAAGAGTGTG